ACCGGAAAATTATCTCTGTCAACTCATTGAAAACATATGGCAGTTTGTATTATGCAACGGTTTTTTTACGATTCATGTGGTTAAACTGCTCTCTTGCTTTCAAGCACAACATATTTTGCTGTCAATTCAAATAACCTCTCTATGAATACTTAAAACGGGGGTGTTTCTGGGGAGGGGCAGGATCAGGAGACAAACCTTCCTTGCTCTGGGGTAGTCAATATGGAGTCGTGAAAGCGAGTCTGCTCTGTGTGTAAGCAAGAGAGAGATCAGGAGTAAAACACCAAGTCTCAGAGGTTTACCACCTGCTTGTTCAAATTAGACAGCAAACCATGTATTTCTTATATAACTGCTTGTATTTTCAGTGCAATAAAAACAAACAAGGACTTGTATGGCTATATTTCTGGCTCTTGTGGCCTAGAGTCCATGTATTCTCCTTAGGACGTTTCGCCGCTGGGGACGTCACGCTACAAGCACTGTGTCTCCTGTTGGATTTGTGCCGACGAAAACAGAACAACGGACCATGTGATGTAGAATAGGACACAATGACCCCGACTGAAAAACCCGAAATCTATTACTGTTTTGTTTCTGGTTCGCTGCGGACATCTCAGAGCAGAGCGTGAGCTATTAAGAGCCAGCAAGCCAATGCGGAGTCAGATCACTATCAGCTTTGGGACGCTTTAGGTACCGCAGACATGTCAAGTGAATTTCATCATGGCTGAGTGCCGCGAAAACAACACAATTACCAAAGCGCAACAACAATCGATGGCTGAGATATAAGGAGAGCATCAGACTGGCTTTGTGGTGATCCATAATATGGCCCCTCTGATGGCATCAGCCTCGAAGGGAACCAGTCAGCATCTCTGGCTGTAAGTCCATTTAACAGATAGCATAATAGCAGATTAGCATAATGGTTTGAGGAAATTGACTCCATATGCCCAGACAAGTTCATTACACGGTAATTTTTCCTCTTTCAATGAGGCTATGCTCTTTCCACTTGATATTTTTATTAGTTAAAAACTAATCTGTGATCCATCAAACAAGAGAGAAAATAAGAATTACGTGATCTTTGTACAAGCAACCATTTGTGTAATTTATATTGTCCTGCTTAAAATGATTCTGTTTTTAATAAGTTTGTTTTGCTAGGAAAGAGAAAATCAGTCCTCATGATCAGTGCTGCTTCTTCATTTGAGAAAATAAGCGCCAAAGAAAGAAATTCAGCTGATTTGTGATGATAAAAGATGCTCTGATCTTTAGTTGCAGAAATTTAAAACAATAATGCCAGTCTATTTTTGGAGAGTAAGTCACATAAAAGTGCATTTTAGGACAGAACGATCGAGTATACTGTGAGTCTTTGAATACATATTTCAATCAGGGACGGATTACGGACCAGGCCAGCGGGGCCGCTGCCCAGGGGCCCTTGGGGTGCAGGGGGCCCATGGGGCCCCTAGCCCAAAACAATTTGCAACGCTTATCAACAATGTATTTTCGTTTGTCTATTTTAGAGGGCCTACATTCTTTGATCCTCTGCCTACAAGGGCCCCTGACCCTATAGGGCCTCTGATGGAAACATGGAGGGAGGGCGTTTGGCTGCCAAGGGCCCTTGAATTGTGGTGGTGGTGGTGGTGGTGGGGGGGGCCCTCACAACCCATAATCCGTCCCTGATTTCAATACATATCTGTGGACTTTTAATTAAAAGCAATGTGAGCTACATTGGAGCTGCATTGGTTAGCAACTCGCCTTACATTGCTTTCGCAAACTTATGATGGCCTGCTATTGCGTATTAGAATTTATTGTGCTACTAGCTGGGCTGGGCTGGGGTTTGTGGGCGGGGCTTGATAGCTTAGCACACACACGCAAACGGTGCCTTTTTACTAGCTGTAACCACCAGACTTGTTACAGACCACACAAGGGGAGGGACACAAGGTTCATGGCTGTCCCGGTGGGCAAGCCCAGGAAATAAAATCTGCCCTCATTTTCTCTAGAAAACACTTAATTGGGACAATTAAAGTTTGCCCAACTTCCGAAAACTCATTATCTTTTTTTTTTTCCCTCTATTTTGAAATAGTCCTCATCACTGCTCTTTAAGGCATACAGGAATCTCAGCCCAGACCTCTCAATGCTACATCCAAGAATCCAAATCCTACCACCCCCCCACCCCCCGATAAACACATTAGGTGACACTAATGCACGCAACTGCTTTAGAAAACAAATAAAAGCAGCAGGTTTCCTTCCTGAGTCACTAATTGTTGGGCACAGATTTCAGTGTTTTTCTTTACCACTAGGTAGTTGATCATTACCACAAATTTTGCAATTGTTAGGCCGCTTGTCAGATTTTGCTCCGACACTTCGGTTCACCGTGACCAATCAGAAGATATTGTGCTCTGCTACACCAACGTTTAGCGTTACAAATGGTTTTCTGAGGTTTTATTTTTCTTTTCTATCATTACAAAAGTCCTTGGTCTGCAGATACCAAAATTCTCCAGTGCTTTCACAATTTTCAATGCAAGTACAATCCAACATGAGCCAGAATCCAGTCCAGCATCTATTGGAAAATTTATGGTACATGGTGGATATGACTTGTGTAACAAAACCAGTTGCATCATTGCAGATTTTAAACAATGTGTATCAGCTTTTAAAATTTAGCCTCATTACGGTCAATAATATTTTTCTTAATTCTTGGTGCATTCATAACATTTCACAATTTTACTGGAAGTAACAACGTAGTACAAAATGTTTGTAAAAAAATATTGCTGACATTACACAGTGCATTCAGCATGGAGAAACAATATTGCTCTTTGAATGTAGGCTAAATAATGGGCTGGTGTACGTTATATAAAAATCTGTCCTTTCGCAATATAACTCACACTGCTTACAAAGAAGGATTACTGTTAAAATGCCTTTGCAGCATGACTAGTTCATGCAACGGGCACCCAAAACCTAACATAGGAGGGCTAGCAAATGGACCTTTAACACAGTTTAATTGGTCAGAGATGAAGGCGCATTTTCTGTTTTGGGGAGCGTCTCTATCTCATTCGGTGAAACTAGCACGGACTGGCGTTTATTATACCCCACACGGCACTGAAAGATTCCTGAGGTTTCACACTCAAATTACAAGCCCTTCCATACAGCCTCAGGCACTGCCTCTGTTGAGGAATTCAATATCATTTCTATTGTGATTCAGCGGCCTGCATTGGAATGAAACACCGAAAGATCAATGTCGGCTGCTTCCTGAAGAGATACCGTGTTACCACAGAGCAGCACCTACCTTAACGCCAAGCTGTCCTCCATTCAAAAAGAATTACAATTATTTGCAAAAAATTAATTGCCATATCTTTAACGTATTCTGGAGATCACATTCGACTTGTATGAGATCGTATATACATACTGTGTAATTAATAGCGTGTCGACAGGAGGCTACCCGGGCAATGTTCCGCTCGTCGATTTGTTAGCTGCGTGAGAAACTAAAATGCCACTAAAATGGGCTGTTAACAGAATTTTGTAGCACCTTGGAAAACACAGCATTTAACTTGTTTGTTTATTAAGACCAACAGATCTATGAGCCAGCACACCATTAATATGAAACACTTGGAAAGCCCAGCAGTGCGGAAATCTGTTTCAGTCAATTACTCCTTGAATGTAATTTTTAATGAAAAAATACTTTTATTACTTAAAAGAAAATTAATACGTTGTATTAACTGAATGCAGTGTTTTATTGCGTCCCTGTTGCCATCGAGAAAACGTTTAATTCCGTTCCCCGCTTAATAAACGTCTGCTCTTTTTGCAGAATACAAACACCGGCCCAAAGTTAAACCAGATGCTGGCGCAGTCAGGGAGTGCCAAGAAGGAAAACAAGTGAGGAATTTCGTACAGGAAAGGGACTGAAGGCCTCATCCGTCTGCACCTCACCCACCTAAATCACAGCGGCTTTTGATGGGATCTAAGGGAAAACGGGCTGTCAGTGTCTCCTCCCGCCGGTGCCCCAGCCATCAACGCCCCGTGAAATCAGACGCATCCACCTACACGCACGGGAGCTGTCGTGCGGACTGCGGGACTGACGCGTCTGCAAAGCGGGGCGGCTGCGGAGCTCTGGCGCAGCTCCAGCTGGCTGCCTGTCAGACCCTGCTTTACATTACATTACACTAACTTCCTGCGCTTGTGCAGGCACGAATTCCCTCAATGCGGATCGGAGACGGAGGTCCACCTTCAGATGCAAGTTGTATTCACAGGTGCAGCGATATACCAGCGCGCCGTTTTCCATAATATTACATACATATTATTAGCTGGGAATAATAATAATTATAATTATAATAATAAAACAAGGGCATCATTAGGCTTTTTCAAAAATGTATTTAAAATACTTGTAAACCATGAATAGCTTTTTATATAGTTTGCCATCCCGCCCCCCAGTAAAGGCTCAGTCCCCCATCAATTCATGTCTAACTACACCCCTGATGATGATAATAATAATAATTATTATTACTATTATTATTACAGAAAACCTTACAGCTCTGTTGATCATAGAACCACAGCATGTGCTTAAGTGCACCAATAATTTTGGCCTTTAAAGGGAGGGGGCATTGAATGTTTCCAAAGGCCCCTGAGTGGTGTATAATTTGATTGTTCAGAATTGGGGGCCCCGTATGACATGTTAAAATGGGGACTAAGATCTTTAGCACCTCCCCTGATGACATGATCTGACATGATCCTGGAAGTTAATTCAATATTTGGAATAATCTTTTCCCACTGTGTTTTAATTGTCAATCACCATTTGTGGTGTCTCACCTAGCAGGAATCATTAATGAAGAGCCACCTTAACTACACCTTCTCTAGTGTTCCTTTGTAATTCCCCACAGAATGCTTTGTGATTAACCGGATGTCACTGGATTTCTTGCCTGGGGAAATCTGCAGGAATCAATGCATTACACTGAAAATGCACGCAATACAACAGAGATGTTGTTTTCTGTAAACACAGACAGATATATCCTTGAAAGACACAGGTGTAAATGACCAAGATCAATTTTTATGTTGAGATAACATACAAGTACAAAAATATAAAAATAAGTAAATACATTCATAGATTGTAAATCTTACAATAGATACATAAGTCTTGCAGCTCTGTTTTACAAGCACATACTGTAAGATGTGGATTTAGAAAAAAATACATATGAAGCATATAAATACCGTGACAGTAATACTGTCACTCAACAATACAACTGATTATCAGAAAAGTCAATAAATCAATAGATAATATTCATAAAGCCTTGCTTGCATTCATCAAATACATTTACAAATACACTAAGCAGCATTCACTTTGGGTAACATGCGGGAGCAGGAGGGAAATTTTCATTTTTACACTTAAAATTTTAAATCCCACACGACAACAATGTGTACTGTACTAACAAAACAGGTCAACAGACTATTGGGATCAATTAAAAGCAAATTGAATAAGTGGCCACATAAAATGTAGCGTCTGAGCCACACAAGGCAGACGGCCAGCATCGGGGGATTTGCATCACGCAATCATTTGACTGGAATCTTGATTTCAGCGAAAACAGCTGCTCTCGTTAACAGTCTCGGCTTTTGTGGTAGGTGCTTGTGTAAAACTCTGATTTATTTTCCTGCTTAACCATAAAAGGACGAAGAGGTTTTATTTACTTTCAGACTAAACAGAGATTGCCGTGTTGGCTCATACTTTGTCTACTCTGTATCGCTTCCAAAAAAAGACACTGCTTCTGTTCTGAATGAATTTTGATCCCCTTGATTTTTGTTTTTAAATTAAATTATTATTATTTTTTTTCCTGATGAAAAGCCTCTAAATATATAAATGATTTTAGACTGGACAGAAATTCAGCTGAAGTAAATTACAGAGGAACCTTTTTATGAAGCAAAGTCTTACACGCAACAGGGGTAAAATAAAAACAAAGTAAAGCTGATAAGGTACCGGATCTAGTGGTCTAGTACCGGGTCTAGTACCGGAAACGTAAACCAAGAAAAAAAAACAATAAATATATCTCAGAAGGCCGATGATAGCTCTGTGTGGTTTGTATACATGAAAAAATATAAATAAAACAAATTTCATACTTTTCCTCCAATAAATATCAGTAATGCTTATTTACAATATGCACAATTCCCTCCCGATAAAACCTACTGCTAACCTTTCTCTTTAAAAAGTGTTTTGCAGACCCAGTGAAAAACAAACCCCTGTTACAAAACACAATGCATGCATCTAAAAGGAATTATTTACTTTAGCCTTAAGAACAATGTGTAAATGTGTTACTCAAAAGTAAATGCTCTCTGCAGCCACTTCCTCTCATCAAAGGTATTACGCTCTACATAGAAGGCACTACAAAAGAATATGGCATCTCAGAAAGGTTTTGTTTAATTCAGCGATTAAAATGAAAGGCAAATATATATTTTTGCCTTGTCAGATCCATCTTCTCGAATGGAAAGCTTTTCTACAGGGCGTTTTCCGCATTCTCCAAAGTGTGCTTGGGAACATCTGAAGGACAAAACACGGGATACAAGTCAACCAAAAAAGTAAAAAGTCACAACGTGAGAGAACTCTGTCGTCCCATATTGACTGTGGCCTGACTGGTGAGGATGGAGGAGATGGATGAGAGGGAGTGTGTGGCTCTGGGGGTTAAGGCCTCTGTGCTTGTGATTGGAAGGTTGCCGGTCACATCCTGCGCTTAGGACGAGCGCTCGCACCATTGTTGAGCCCATGAGCAAGGCCCTCGAGCCCGAGGGAAAGCTCCAGGGAAAAACAGTTGTATTTGTACTCTAAGGCGGGGGATTGGTCTTACTTTTGCAGTGAGGAGGGTGTTCTGGTCTTATTTGTCCAGTGAGGTGGGGAGCTGGTCTTATTTATACAGTGAGGATGGGGATAATCTTATTTGTACAGTGTGGGAGGTCTGGTCTAATTTGTGCAGTGAGGGGGGGTCTGGTCTTATTCTTATAGTGAAGGGTCTTATTTATCCAGTGCAGAGGGAAGTTGGTCTTATTTGTGTGGTGTGGGAGGTGGTCTTATTTGTACAGTAAGGGGGGTCTGGACTTTTTTGTACAGTGGGGGGTGGTCTGGTCTTATTCTTATAGTGAAGGGTCTTATTTATCCAGTGCAGAGGGAAGTTGGTCTTATTTGTGCGGTGAGGAGTGGGTCATGTCTCATTTGTACAGTGGGGGGGTGGTCTGGTCTTATTCTTATAGTGAAGGGTCTTATTTATCCAGTGCAGAGGGAAGTTGGTCTTATATGTGCGGTGAGGAGTGGGTCATGTCTCATTTGTACATGGGGGGGCAGGTGTGTGGGGGAGAGGGGTCTGATTTTATTTGTACAGGGAGAGGGGTCTGATTTTATTTGTACAGTGCAGGGGGCTTCTGGTCTTATTTATGCAGTGTAGAGCGTTGGTCTTATTTGGGCTGTGAGGAGAGGAGGTTGGTCTTATTTGTGCGCTGGCGAGGGCGGTTGCTCTTGTCTGTGCGGTGAAGAGAGCGGGTGGGTCTTTTTTGTGCACTGAGGAAGTGGGTGGTCTTACTTATGCAGCGGCCATAGTGACGCACGCCTATCGAGCGACCCAGGAAGCAGGTGGCTCGGCGCAGGTGGCACGCGCTGGGGTAGGTGACGTTGTCATTGCCGCAGATGGACTGCTCGGACGCCATAGGCAGGGGACAGGGGGCAGTGCGGCACATTACGCAGTGGGCGCTGTTGGTCTGGTCCGTCACGCAGGTGTGGGTGCCGGGACACACCACGTTCGAGCAGGATTCTGGAAAGCAAGAACGTCACATGACCAGCGTCCATGAACTTATACTCATGGCAGTCTGCTTACAAATGAGTGCATTTTAGCATGGTGCTAAAATCCTGCCTTACTTTTACAATCTCCCTGGTACATGACCTCCAGGTCCGGTTGGCCCTTGCACCGGGCCAGGAGGAGGGCACACTCGTCACGGTAGGAGTTGCCGTCGCTTCCGCAGACGGGCTGCTTGCGGGTGAAGCTGGAGCAGTCAGGTGAGCACACGCACTGCGGCCTTCCGGCCTTCATCCTGCACTCCTTCCCTGGGCCACAGTCCACGCCCTCGCAGTTCACTGCAGGGGAGAACGGAAGATCCTAGCCAACTGACGCAGTCAAACCTTCCAGCATCACATGGCCACGATTGCCGGGCCCGAGTCATCGCCTATCATAAACAAGTTATGACTTACTCCTCAGTAATTGTGGCCTGTAATTTGAACATCTGCATGCATTGTCTTCCAGGAAATGTTGCAACCACCTTTCAAGGGAATCTAATTTTCCCACACCCGGAAGAGCGGCTGAAATGCGCTTCGGAACAAGCCACTTATGAAAACGCACTGCATGATCTTTAGCTTCTTATTTTCATTCTCAAACTGTTCCTTGTACTGAAAACCATAACAGTTGAACAGCTGGATAAGTAGCTGTAATGAAAGCAGAAGCAGAAGACGGAGTTCATACATGATTGTTTAAAGAATCTGCGGAGCCACGAATCCAAAGCAGATGAGTAGTGGACTTGCAATGTAAACTCACAAAGGAATTGGCAGTTCTAACTGTGACGTGAACTTGCTTCACCACACAAAGGTCAGTGGTGAGAGGAGCGGTCAAAAGAAGGTGGTGAGAGGAGATAGAGGTGAACCGACCACCAGAGCTCTCTGGGCACGTGTGTCAGGCACGATTTATGCTTCCAGCTATTGGGCCCCTGAGGATCTGCAGGCATTTTCTATGCATCACAGACAGTGGTTGAGGAATCATGCTTAGTAATGATGGTGACAGCATCATGCAGCCAGATGACAGTGCTGTGAGGGACGAATGGAATGAATAGAAGCAAAAAAAGAAGAATGATTATATGCAGGTGATGGAAAATATGAAAAGAACTGTATTTATTAGAGGTTATATGTGTAAAGACAGTATCCTGGGTGGAAGGATGTTGAGCCCGGTCAGGGGAAAGTCAAGTGGCCAGACCATCGATTAATTTCACCTGTATCTTATTACCCATCATAAGAGACTAACTTCTGTGTCTCTCCCAGAACACACACCTACGCATTGATACCCAGGTCCGCACTGCACAGGATCTCTCCCCGAGCTGCTTCTCCTGTTTGCTCCCCTTGACCTGAAGCTAAGCCTCTTCTCGTGCTCCTGTTCTCCCAACCAGGCCCCATTCCCCGCCCCTGTGTCCCTGTCACATCACTCAGCTCCCCCTTCATCCCGGACGCCTCTTACTGCTGTCATCCTGCAGCATTGCCCTCAGTAAGGAACTGACTCAGACCTAAATTGTAGCGTTGCTGAAGTGACTAAACCCTTGTAGCCTTTGACTCAACGACACGAAAGATACACAAAGGTCTGACGCCCTTGTCCAAATGTGTGGTCTGGGGTGTAGAGGAGCTGGGACGATCATCCCGCCTGGCCCATGTGCCGAGGAATGATTCATCAGACAATGTATTTACAGTGGGTAATGCAACTGTTTACAATGGGACGCAGAGACATTTTGCGAGTGTTTGTGCTTTTCCCTGTCTCTGTGAGCGTAGAGATACGTCAAGAGAAACTCACTTTCTGCGCGGTATGTGTAAAGGGGCAGTAATGAGACTGCGAGGCGGGCCAAGCACTGAATGCTTTGGTGGACTAACACAGCCATTAGATTCACAGCCTATAAGCGATGTAAGGCTGGGATTGATATGTGAAAAGCGTAACTCAGCCAACACAGCATGCATCCGCACACTTCCACAAAAGACCACGTCGACGTGAAGGAGCGACGTTACCTCCGTTCCCAGGACCCACTAGGGCTGTTTTAATATCCTGTTATTCTCCATTTCAACAGCCTAAATCACCAAATCAACTTCAGTCTGCACTTCACACAAGAGTAAGAGATCTCCTCGTCCCTGGGGAAGCCTGGGAGACTCCTTTTTGTTTTCCTTTTGTCAGATCTACTGGCAGCAAGTCGCAATTTATCCGTCTTTGAACCGATTTAACATATAGAAAATTACGGGTCAAATGATCAACATCAGTCAAAGCGTAGGAATGCTTTGAAGCACCTAACAGCAACGGCAAACATATGAGAAATATTACGGGGTGCTACCTGTGAGGTCCAGTGTATCCATATACTTTTATGATGTAAGAAATGGGCGGCCAGTTAAATCTGCAGCACATGATACATTACGTTTCTGTCTTTTTCAAATGGCCAAGACTCAGGGCAGTCTTCCGCATTATGAGGAACAGACCTCTGGGCATGTGGTAAGCATTTTTTTTTTTTCCTGTGGTAAACTGGAATTCATTCTTTTCTTGCAGAGCGGACGTTTTGGCCGACTATCCAGCAAACACTGGGAAATAATTCATGTGGAAGCATTAGATGATGGTGAAGGAGATTTGGTGCCTGTTTCACCTCAAGAAGCCCTTTTTTTATCAGATGCAACATACTAGAAAACATTAGGCAACCACAGTCATCTACAGGATGATCACACAATTACAATTACAATTAATCTGGATAATTAATGACTTTACTATGCAGCATATATGTTCATTTCTTAAATACAATACATAACTATAATTACGTTTATACAATGGGTATATCTAATGAATATAGTGTTTCAAATGTATTTTTAAAAGTGCTTTTCACCCTTTATGACTGCAAGAATGTTGCAAAGTAGGAAGTGGCCAGTCTGATTAATCTAACACTAAATTCAATGATAAGGTTCCTCCATCATCTGTGTTAAGCAGAAGTATTTATTCAAATCATTGGGTAAACACAATTTCACCCGAACATCTGATCCCAGAGCAGAAGTGGACTGCTCAGAACTGTACATTGCATCAGGATATCTTGTTTTAAATTGTCAGTAAAATTTCTGTATTATCTGAATTATTTCTCCAGGGAGTCCTGAAACATGCACAAACGTCATACTGAAATTATAGTGCAATCTATTTAATAAATTAAACTAATAGCAACTTAATTTCAAGAGGCCCTAAGACACGTGCAGTGGAGATAAACGGAACCTCCTTAAGGAAGGATCCTGAGGAGACCAGTTACTGAGATCCTTAAATAGCCGTCGCTGACAATTTCAGTTAATTCCATCTGAAAAATGTGACCAAAAAGCAGTTTCATCTGTTCTGTGATGTTTTTATTTTATCTTGATGAAATAATATAGGAAAACCACATCTTTGATTTTTCATTTCCTCTGAGATGAAACCCAACAATGTAGACATTTTTTTATTAACCTTTAATAAGTTTTTTCCCCCACAAGAAGACTAGAAGTAATGTGTATGTTTTTGTAAGAACATTTCAAAAGCAATGACTTATTATTCTCAAAGATGAACTTCCAAATTTTAGGATTCTACACATTTCAGTTTAAAGAATCTCTCACTCTGCCTGGTGACGAATACATGCTTCGAAATCCTTTAATAAAAACACATCATATCCTTGACTAAACCCCGATACCTAGCTCATACTTCTAACAGCGAATTCGACATAAAACAGCTCGATTGAATTAGATTGACATCTGTCTTTAAGCCCCGGCAGATATTTGAAATAATGAGAATGATTTTCACAAAGATACTGTGTAAACTGTTAGTTCTCGACGCCCTGTACGAGCGCGCTTCGCGTGGTTTACAGGTTGACTTAAGTGCCCCAAGGTAGTTGTTTATTGATATGTGCAGGGATTTAATACTGGATGCTTAAATTGCTGCAAGCATGATATTTTAAGCCGCGATAAAGATGACAGTTGTTAGCTTTCGCATCTCAAGGATGCAGATTGATGCACCCAATCAAGTGTTTTTTATAAAACGGCAGCGAGGATGTGCGACGTGTGAAATGAGATCAGGTGAGGTGGCGCAGTCTGGTTTACCTTTGCAGGCTTTGCAGGACACGATTCCTAAGAAGCCCAGCAGGCTGACCTCGTTGATGGGCAGGCTGGTGTTGGACCAGGCGGTGTCCAGGCGTCCACCAGAGCAGCACTCCTCGTAGCCGACACCTCGCATCAGCACCATGTCGCAGCGAGGTTCCTGACTCTGCTGGAGCCAGCAGGTCCCAGCTACCCACAAGCGACATGGTATTAAACTGAGTCCGTCATGCATTCAACCCTCTACGCTGCTCCCACGGGAGCCTTCAAATGTGCCCCTAATCTACTTCATTCGCAGTTTCTAAATGTATTAATGACCCCCAAATACCCTAATTCTGACAGAAGTTAAGCAAAAAAATTCTCATGTGATAAATGAGAAGCCCAATAAAAACAGATAGATTAAAAATATGACTATTATTAGTGTTTAATCGCACGTCCAATCATAAGATGTAATTAAGTTATATAACTGTATAATTGTAATTAAAATAAAGTAAAACCTGTAAGAAATTCAAAAAACAGCACAAGAAAGAATGTTTAATTCACTGGTAAACCGAAATCCTAAACCTCGTTGTTATTTAAATTTAAAAATATGGCCGAAAGTTCGCGTTATTTAGGTAGATTTTTACATGTATCTGAATGTTCTTAAGTAGTAATGTTCATACGAAATAATATCAGACCAAAAGATTTGCTGTGAATCTTACCTCTTAATTAATATGACTATATATTATATTTACTGGTTATTATGAAAACCATAAAGAGCATGTTTTCATACAAATCAGAATAAACTCAACTTTAAGGGGTCGTACCTAGAAATCTGTTTAAAATACGAACACAAAGAATAAACGGTTATGCCAACACAAGATGTTATTTGTCATGAGACTAATGACATTACAATAGGCAGATTTTCACGTAACTCATGTAGCCTAATAGACGCTGACTACAGTGGTAGTTGGAAAATTGTACACAATGTATTGTTTTCAGAATCTACACTCATAAAACACACTAAACAATTACTGCAAAACTGTTAGAGCAGACAGTTTAAAACAGAAACCGTTCTCACCATATGCAGGATATCTTCCAAAGATTTCCCACAAAGAAACGATTACCAGAATGTTAATTGTAATTAAAAGGCACATTGTGATACAAAAAGTTTAAAATGTTTTTTAAAAAGTACTTGGCAGTAAAACGCGTCCCGTCTAGAAAAAAGAAAAAGTTCCGATGACAAAATAAGTAGCTTATCTCCGCAGCAGCCTTGAAGTCAATGAATGTCTTGTAAGTGATCCCCGTCCGCCTCTTTATAAATATTTTGGCTAGACTGAATTATGCTGTTGGGATGGGCGATGCTCTCAGCCAGTTGTAACGCTAGGACGGATAGCTTTTTGATGTCTGAGTCAATTTCCAGAGGCTGAAGTAACCGTTCATTTTACAGTCGACATGGAAGCAAAACCAGTCATACCTGCAGACCTACTTGTTCTGAATGGTCTGGACCCCAATAGGCCTACTCAACACACAAAAATCTTTGACGTCTCTCCATATCAACGACAATTACAGGTAGCTGGAAAATATTCAAGTCTTACCTCGTATTGTCTCCACAAAAAAAAGTTAATGACTTGCTGGCTTTCAAAAGGGTTGGTGGATCGTTACCTTTAGAGCCAAAAGCCAAGGGAATGCGTTTCCGTTTTTAAATGTACTCTAATTTCACCCCAAGGTCATGAAAACAATACTTTTTATACTAGTTGGCGCCTTTAATTATTACATGTTAAGATGCATTTTAACATTAAGAGAATTAAGCGATTTCCTATTCTACAGTACATTGTAGTGACAATCGCACCAACTTTCACTAAGTAGGGTCGTCAAGCAAAGATAATCTTTAAATAAGTATATATATAGGGCTAATAACAGAATTATTAGGTTTTGTCTCCCTAATAATAAAAACAGTAGGCCTGTATGCATAAGGATGATTTTGCGGGCTAGTCACGTTTATAGGCTACCTGTTCTATTTAGTCAAATGCTAAATGTTAACGCCAGATGAGGAAATACTACATCGTATTTAGAAAAAAATAAAAAATAACAAATGTTTCATTAACTAATCAAAAAATACGAAACGACTGCTCTGATCCGGATTTTAATACAGAATAGATTTAGTGACAGGTTCCTACTGGTGCGTAAGGATGTTATTTTTTATTAACAATCTTCTCGCTTTTCTGCAGTATCTTCAGTAATCACGTGTGTACTTTAAACACTGAATTTATGGTCAGGGTTTGTTATCGAGTCATGCCGGACGAGGGTGACCTGTACAGTAAACGATTTTTTATCATTGCTGTCTTGTGTGGGACGCAGCGCGAGGCTTTCTAAACTTCCCACAGGACAGGAGACTGCCTCCTACAGGGCCGCTTTGGCATTGCATTGAGAAATGTGTTCCATCCCGCATTCTTATGCAGTCAAAGAATACGTAGGCCTATGTTTAATGTATTTTCCACATGCCTGTCAGTGATTTTCAGGAGATAATGTAAAAACCAAGTAGGCAAATATAGTATTAAGTAGCCTATATGTGTCCAGTGATTCGACTCTTGACTGATGATTTGTTTCTTTTCGAAGTGAAACCTATGCTTGCCACAGCTTGAACGTTAAAGCATTTCTTGTGTAGAGTCTGCCACCTATCATTACAAATGATTTTGGCTAGATATTAAATGACTTGGAAATTAAAACGTCATGCCGTTGTTTGAGCTAAAGCCGTGGAGTTGGGTTAGTTTGGTTGCTTTTAATCTATCTGGCAGATTCTGAAATGTCTTTCACTGAGATTATTTATCGGATGGGATACCTCGGGTGGAGACTTTCCCGTATATTATGCATTAGCAGTAGTGTATAACTGTAATTCCGAGATCATTGATGGCAGAACCTTACAGTCAACGCCTCAGTCCCATTTCCAGATTGTAGTGGGAAAACAAAGAGATCCAGCATCATTCACCTTACATCTTTTTTGGTATGATAGTGGAAAAACTGAATGTTTGAGTTCAAAGGTTGCCAATGATCTTGGGTCTTTCTCATGTACTTCTTTATATCCCGTTTGAACATGAACTTCATTGCAGTATTAGGCCTAAATGGAGCATTTGCAGATGAAATGCTGCATTTATATTAATGCCCCCAGGTTGCAGTACAAGCCACCAGTGACACTTTCCAATTATGTCAAGTACCTAATAAGTATTTGTTTTTGTATCTTTATCTTGTTTCATTCTCCCGATATCTATCGGGCCCCCACAGCATTTCCTTATACATATATTGCATATAGGTTATTTAAACGGCTCGTTTAATTTGTTCGCGGCAAAATGAACATAATCAGCTTGTTTCGGCAGATAATGAACCATTTCCTAACAAATGGAGGGAAACGGTGATCCTGACCAGGATAAGCAGTTGGAAAATTGATGAATGGAGGAAAGAGGCATGCAGATATCGGTTTATGCCAGTTATCAATTAACAGGCTTTGTGATGCTGCCTGACCTGGAGGTGGACTGGAGGTGAATTCCTGCTGGAGAAAACGCGACTCCAGACAGAAAAGTTTTGTATGGTTTACTGAGTTCAATGCATCACAATGTGCTGATTGCCTCGCTTTGTAAATGGCTTTGGACAGAAGTGTTTACTAAATAAAGTGTAGCGTAAAATATATGAAAATATTGTCCCTCTTGCTTTGAGTTGAGTTTGTTTTAATTTAGGCCTGTACTTTTTCATCCTGCTAGCCTTCTGTGAGTCTGATGGCCATCAAACGGGCGAGCTGAGGAAGTCGCCATGTCTGGCCTGAGAACAACCATCTGCTGCAGGTGTCTCTTATTTCCAAGTGATCTGGCAACCATTTAATTCCCTTTGCCGCTAAATGAATCTGATGGGTCTGTCTGGTGATCATTTGCCCATCTGGCCAGCCTGCTTTTTTTAAAGAATTATGCTTTAGTGGAGAACTTACATGACAGGAAAACACATGATGCACACAGCACACTTCAAGGCCAGTGGGAAAAGCCGTAATCAGCATCTGCGTTCTTTCTGGTGTGGGACGTTAGGGAGCTCTGCCAATGTTCTGTCAATCCCTCGCCCTGTCTGTGGTGTGAATGCAGCCCTTTGATCACGTTAAAACTGAGGGTGGCACTCCTAATCCGTATGAATATATTTGGTGCCTTGGTCGTTGCCTTCCGTCGCCTTGCAGCAATCCCCAGAGCACAGATGGAATGCTGGGAGAGACAGGAGAATTGTGGGTGGACTGCAGCGGTAGTGAGCAGCCTGCATCTTGGTTCCTGTAAATTCCATCATTACACCACGCAGCAAAATATCTAAAGCGACAAATTTAGTTATACAATAATATATCTGGGAACAGTCTCTTAACTGTAACAAATAGATGTACTCTGGAGTTTGTGGGTTTAGCAAACAAATATTCTATAATTAAATGAATATATAAAAATATCGCTTTAACATAAGGGTACAATATCATGAAATATTTTCCCGGTAGCGCCCCCTAGCGATAATACGTATTAAAAATACACCGTTATGCAGAGAGTCTGAATTATTTTGAATTTTTAGTTATGTTGACCACATTGCTACGTTTTCTCAACTTGCTGAAGTCGTGAACACTGTTAATCATGTATTCATTTGGTTTTTCCCAAAGATATAACCAGGGACGAATTGTCACTAGATTCTCTTTTAGTCGAGCAAATTTTAAGGCAGCTTTTACATTAAACTTGTTTTTATTCAGTTATATTTTTGTCATTATTTAAGTTTAAGAATTAACATTTAATTTTTTGTAGAACTCCCGCCCCCTCCCCCCCCTCAAACGGCTGCCAAATGGACTGGAATATCTGACATTTAGCGTTAGGAAATTTCTGGTGATTCAGTAACTTTTGTCCTTTTTAGGCCTCCGTACGCACTCCGTGTCGGTTTTGTCTGCGTTACGGTGGGTCTGAAGATGGCGGAAGCTCCCTTACAGCCTAGCCGGTTTTTCTGTCATCGATGTTCGGCTGAAATCAGCCCTCGTCTGCCGGTAAGTATTGCGGACAAGGCGCTGAAGTAACGTATCCGTTGAAGGACATATAAATTGTTGATGAATTGCCATTAAGGTCCTTGGTTCGGCTGCTACGTGGTGGTCTGCCTTAGCCGCTAGCCTTACTCGTTGCTCAGCTATGTTAGATTGCTAGCTAGCTGACAGGCGAGGCCTCTGCTTGATATTCACAAGCTGTCCGTGCTGGTAGTTGGTGGTTCCACGGACTTTTGTACATTTGGACTCTAGTACGATTCACGGTTCACCCCCCAAAGAAAATATTAATATCCATGAGGTGTCTTTTAATATAATGCTGTCTGTCAACTACAGCTAAGCTGGTTAACTGGTCACATCGAACCAAAATCGGAAGGGTATTACAGAAAATGACGAGGGGGATTAGATACCTGATTTGCTGGTCATCTGCGCTTTGGGGTTTCTTTGGTTTAAAGATGAACTCTTGATACATATGTTTTAATTTATCGGATGGTGCCCCATACTGTATTTCGCCCTTTATTGCTAAACCAAACGAAACTACATTCCACATTGCACCTCGTGAATGGGATTTGACTGTGTCAGCCACTTACGTCTGTGATTGTCGCTTTTTATTTAACAGTTAGCTAGTTAGCTAACCTAAGCCGTTAATTCCAGTTTCCTAGTAATCTATGTAAACTGTAAATTAAATAAACGGCCGGACCGAGCGGTGTAACACGTGTCAAAGAAGACTGTCTTCGGTGTTTAATTGTCTTTGACGTGCAGTGCTTGTGGTCCACATGTGGTATTTTATGCGTCATTATATGTCTAAATTTGGTTGTCACGTGAGATTTGATGATGGTGATGTTTATCAGACATCGGAAAATCCCTAAACACAAACAAATAGTTGCGGCTATATTCGTTATGTTACAGCCACGTGGATGCATTAGACTAGTATATTTGTAATAACATATTCACGAATATACACTTGCGGTATATTCTTCATTTTAGTAAATTAATACTGTAATTGACAGGATTGATCTGCAATGCTTCTGGTCTGGAATGTTATCTTCTAATCTAGAATTATCTAACCATTATGTAACATGTAAGTAATGCGCAGTCCATTAATTTCGTTTACAATTTCATGTTAGATTGAGGTTCCTGAAGTAAACCAGAATGAGTGTGTGTTGCTCTCTTATATACTGTAGTCATTTGTAAAGTTGTAAATAGTGCTTTCCGTTCCGATTCCATCACCCATTCTACACTGTCATGTTCCAGAGTTATACAGATGGGCTCTTCATACACAACACTCTGCTCCCTGAAATAGGATTTTGCCTGAAAGTGACTGAATGCAACGTTTCACTGCATTCACAATGTAAATGAGTTGTTTTTGTGCAAGTAATAGTTAGGGGTTTA